ACTTGTTTATTCCTCCTGTTGTGAAAGAATCTGGTCCACTCTTCCCACCCAAGCAGAAGAAACTCAGCTAATGTAATTCATGGCTATTGACCACTCCCTTGCTTTCCATCATCTGAATTTAGAAGGATTGAAATGGGAAAGTGATTTAAATCTTCTTCCTCCTTATGGGAGGTAGAAGCCCAAGAAACAGATGTTCTAACTCTGTTCGTACTGTTCCCAGATTTTGCCACCATCAATTCCTGGGTTACATCAACTAAAAAGGAGAAAGACTTTTGGTTCACAGCTTTAGACCCAGGTTACTTGGCTCTTGTTTCTGGGTCCCAGCATGTTTCCATGTTCTCAGTCACTACCTAGTACTGAAAGACCCCCAGACCCCTAAGGGCCTCAGGATCCCGAGGAGCCCCTGAGACTCAGAAACCAGTCCATGAGCTGCAAAAGCAAGAGGGTTTATTGAACGAATTCACATTCGGGTGTCAGCAATATCGGGAAAACTGCACACCCCAGCATAGGGTGCAAGCTCCTTACATAGGGAAAAAACCGCAGATCAGCATACAGGCAAGGGGGTACAAAGCGACTGATTACAAAGTGATTGATTACAAAGTATGATTTCATATTAACGAGGTAACCTAGGTGTGACCTGGTTTTCTACAAAGGAAAAACCATAGAATGTACTCTGGAGAGTCCTTGATTGTCTGCTGGCCAGCCAGGTGTGACCCAAACAGAGTTGTCTTGGCGATCGCCCCCATCTAAACCATAGGATGTGCCCGGGGCTGGGGCCAATTTCCTTGTAATGGGCCAAGGCCTGTGGGAACCTTTTTCTCTCTGTGAACTAAAATCTTTCAGTACTTCAGTGCAATACCTGTCTGTATTTGTGGGGCTCAGTGTAGTGTTTTAGTAGATGTGCCCATTGCAGAAAGATCAAAGCTGTTAACATACCCATTACCTACTGATTAATCATTTAAAATCCTTCAGAAACAATGACGTAGATGTTGACTATAGTCTCCTTGCTGTGCTACAGCTCCCCCAAAAATCTCTTCCCCACACCAGCCCATCCCTGGCCCTCTGTGAGCCTTTAGTAACCAATATTCTTTCCTAAAAAGCGAGTTCAGTTTCTCTAGGTTTAGTCATTCTGTGCTTTCTTCTTTTGCTTTACATCACAGCCTTCAGGTTTGTCAGTGTGTGTGTGTGTGTGTGTGTGTGTGTGTGTGCGCGCGTGTGCGTGCGTGCGTGCGTGTGTGTGTGCGTGTGTGTGTGTGTGTGCATGTGTGTGTGTGCGTGTGCATGTGTGTGTGTGTGCGTGCGTG